GAGAAATGGTGTTACATTCTGTGATGTAAACAATGAAATGAACGTAGGGGGCAAAGGAAGATTCACAAGCCCAATTGACACAACCAAGTTTTGTAACAATATCGTGTTTGGTATCATTTTAATCAGGAAAATCTCACCAATATTTTGATGAAATTTTTATTAACGAAAAATTGAAAATAACAAATTTTTGTAGTTTTGTTAGTTTGTCTCACGGATATGCCGACGCCGAATGCGATAAAGAGATGCCGTGGCCGTGTCACATTAGTCGCTTGCCTGGTCCAAGGGTGGTCCCCCCTTGCGGTGGGGATCGACCATGAACAGTCATGGTGTAGATCCGAAAGAACTCTTATAGAACTTTTACTGTACTGCGGTGCTATATTCCGGACAATTTGAACGTTCTATATATACATTTACCAGTAGATGAAAATATTTGTAGCAAAAAATAAGAAAGCACTCTGATAAAATGTGTTTTTACGTTTAGAGATATTTTTATGGAGCACCAAAAGGACGATAAATTACAGTTTGGCTACGTTTGTGAAAATCCGGTTCAGTGGGAACAAAGATTTGAAGAAAAGGATCTTCCCAACAATCGGCATCGGGGAAAGGTAACGACATTGTTATAATAAACTATATCGTTATGTGGGAAATTTGAAAACGGTGTTTAACAATTTGTGCAGTATTGGTATTTAAATGAAAAATATCTGTACAGGTTCAATGGGGAAATATAGATGGTAACTATGGCGAGCATTACTGGGATATAAATCATAGGTAAATTTTGTAAATTCATAATTAAAAATACAAGGTAATTATCACAAGTGTTTCATAAGTCTCGTCTATAAATTTCAATTGAAAGATAATTCGTGTATGTACATTTGTATTATACAATAAACGTGTATCTATCTGTATTTGTCTTTTTCATTTAAAAATGATGAACGTAACAAACCATTAAATAAATAACATTGAGAGATTTTACGTGATAATGAACAATCTGCTTTTTCTGTCATGGAATTAACAAAATCTAAATACCATAGTAAGACCTTTTTTTATCAAAGTCATTGTGAATTACCACGATAGAATCGTATCCTGAAACTTATAAAACTGGAAACAAGAAATTAAGTTTTTAAATAGATTGCAAAAATTTTAAGTTTAATGTAGAATAAAGTATTACAATTAGTATTGAAGTGGAGATACGTTTAAATTATGAATAAATTTATTTTATATACGCAAAATGAAACCAACATTTACTAATTACTTACATGTATTACAAAGGAAACTGAATTATCCTGTTTTTATAAGATTGCTGGACAGCCAAAAACTTTGTCTTTTTTTATTTTCTCTAAGATCGAAATTTCCAATTCTAAATTTTGCAAATATTTTACCAATAATTTTTTTCGGATAGATTACCTTCTCCGTAAACATTACTTACCTCGTTTTCTGTTTCACTGACATTTTTCCCTTTTTGGAGAAAGAAGGAAAATAAGAAAAACATTTCTTCTATCTTCGAAACAGTAGGCACTTACAACTGCGAGAGGAGGCTATATACCTAGTAATTGTAACAAATAGACTTTTAGAAGACACGTTAAAAAATAACCTTTTAGAACATATGCAAATTTCATGTTTTCATCGAGTTTTGGTAATTACCTGGAAAAGGGGACTGTACGATGCTCGACTCGTGAACGAGACTAGTTTCAGCTCGAACTCGGTTAGTATCGTTGCACTCCCGATGTGTTAATCTCGGAAGGGCGAAATTCTGGTAGTTGGTGTGGTGATGGTGAATAAGAGGTTTCTCTCCGTAAGAATATTTTTGCACTCATTTATTTGTGGTGGTGCGTGGGTATATATTAGGTCGGTGTATGTTGTGATTGGTTGGACGTTGAAGGTGGTGGAAAAGAAGGACTCGAAAAACGCGGAGGTGTGATTGGATATTAGGAAACTAGTGGAAGGAGAACGTGAGGGTGAAGGTGGTGTGCAAAAGTTGAAATAATTTGGGGAAAACCCGGAAAGGGGAAAGGGATAGGAAACATGACCAAGATGCGACTTGAACTGTTTTATGATAGGGAAGGAATTTGTTAGGGGCTAGGAAGACGGCTGGAAAGGACTGTTTATTAATTTATGATGTGTTACTGGCCGGTGGGCTGCGCGACCGGACAGGGACCTTAACTCCAATTTTTGTAGTTTGCAATCTTTCACCCGTATAGGTGGCTGGGGACTCCGCTAAAAAATCTAACCTATCCTAATCATCGCAATTTTCTCAAAATTTTTTGTACACGTCATCTAATATACTAATCGTTCTAACTTCTCAAAAAAACTCAAATCGTTAGGTCCAATTTAAAAAAAGTTATACTGTTCTAAAAAGTGTCCAAATATTAATGGGAATTACTGTACATACAATTTTATTTTTCTCATAATTTTTCAACCACGATCGTCCCGCGCCTCGAACAAAGCGCGTCATTCAGGACTCTCCCTTCTACGACATATCTGAAGGTCAAGTTATCACTGGAGTTAAGGGGACATTCTAGTCTAGAGTGTCATTTTTTAGTCCTTCTTAAGGATTTTTTTGTAAGGAAAGTATAAGTTTCTCAATTTCGGCATTTTGCATACATATTTATTCATGTCTTAAGAAAGTTCACAATTTTTTTCAAGTGAAAATAATCAAAACTGTCTGAATTATATATCATTCAGTGCGGTCCCTTTAAAAAAAAGTGTCCTACTGGCTGACACGATTCCGCCCATTCTGTTTATCCGAAATGAAAAAACCAAAAGGATTCTTGATTAGTACGATTGTGACTATGGTGTGAACAAGAATGAAAAGAAAATAGTGAAAATTTACAAAATGACGGCACTTTGAATTTTGAATATCGATTTCTTCGCCTTTTTTCGTCTTTTGGAGGCTCCAAAAATCAGAAAAATATATATTTTGGCATAATGCTGGTTCAGACGATAATGGCACATTCACTGAGGGTGCATGCAAAATTTGGAGACAATCGGGCAACTAGAACTTGAGATATCATGTCAGCCATTTAGAAAAACATGGTTTCGAGAAAAACGCGTTTAAAGTTTCTCATACCAGGCTACATGTCGTCTTCTATAACCATCTATAACCTCGTCAATTTCACGAATTCGGAAAAATCCTTCGACAGTTGTACTTTTGCAAATGTCTACTTTCAGAAAATATAAAAAAATAAAATCGATTTTTTTGAAAAGTCTAGACTAGAATACCCCCTTAAAGAGATATAACTTTTCTAGATACTTATCCGAGTTTCATTTGTTTCAACGTATTCAAACCCTATTTTTTGAAAATCCACACAAACTTTCCCGGATAACCTAATAAAATTACCTATAATCAGGGCCGGCTCTACCGCCGAAGAAACACGTGCATTTGCACGGGGTGGCAAAATTGGTCTAAACCAGAGCCGCTCAACTTCTTGCTCGCGAGCAAATTTCCCCTCCCGAGGTTCCCCCACTATGCGGTACGAACACGCAGAATGTGTAACATAAACCAACGGCAGTCGCTGGAGTTGTGGTGGGAGGGCTCCTCGCGTCCCCCTGCCGCCGCGCCGCAACTCGAGCGTGACCATCTCAGTCGTGTAGTGGGGGAACCTCGGGAGGGGAAATTTGCTCGTGAGCAAGAAGTTAAGCGGCTCTGGTCTAAACTATACAAAATTCAAACGTAATAAATCATAAAAAGAAAGTTATAAAATAAATCACAAAAAAGTCACTTATTTCTTTTCCGTTGAAACCAGGCATCAGGTTTAAATTTTCACATAATAAAACTTCATAGTACTTTAACACTAAACCTACCAAACCCGTTGAAATAACGGATTTCCGATTTCTTACTTTGAACTACTTTAAACGATTAAGATGCTTCTGTTCAAATAAAGAAATAATTACATATGCCAATTTATTTTCCATTAACGATTCTAATTTCGAAGTTTTTCTACACAGTCTTATCTAAATACACCAGAAGAAAATGAATTTACCACATTCAACTCCGGTTCTAGTGTTAAGAGGCAAAATACATTATTGCACGGGGGTGAGAAAATTCCTCGGGCCGGTTCTAAATACGGCAGATTTTGTAATAAACAACAGACCCGTTCACATGTAGGACAACCTTTATTATTTAATACAGTACTAATTATAACATAATACTACGTATTATTACAATATTAGTATTATTATATTGGTTGTAATCTGAGTTTTTAATGGTGTTTTTTGCGGCATGGGTGCGTGCGTGCGTGCGTGCCGTTTGCGTGCATGCGTGTACGCGCGCGCACTTGTGTGTACATATCTATATATGATAGTTCCATATAAATAAACAAATAAATACATATACATATTTATTCATTTATAATATCCTACACGTAGTGCATTACATGTACACGTATGTATGTGTATATATGTATACATATATTGATATTTATTATACCCTTGTATTAACTACGCGGTACACGAATTCATCTTATCTCTTATCTTATAAACTTACCTCGAATAGATAAATAATATTGTATTTCATAAAAGCACTTTTTGTTGCTTATAATATTATCGTTTTCTTTCTTTAATTATCGCATCGTTTTTTCCCCATATTTTCCGAACGCTGCCCCCTTACGCATCATTTTTTCATCCTACTATTACACAACTTTCGTAGGGATTACATTTCTTAAGGAGTATTACGTTTCTTTCGACTTCCTTACTAGGTCCGGAAGGAAAACTTAAGACACATTACGAACTACAGATATCGAGAGTTAAACACTAGACATTCTTTCGCGTTGTATGATCGCTCTTAAATAACCTTCGTCAATATCCGAATCCGATCCTCACCGCACACCCCTTTCTTCGCTGAGAAATTCCTTTCGTGCTTCCCTAGATCTAGCCGTTGATTTCTTTTTCGTTCTTTTCGTTTGTTTGTTTTCTTTGTTTGTTCGTTTCTTTCGCTCGCTCGCTCGCTCGCTCGCTCGCTCGCTCGCTGCTGGCTTCGTTTCACGCGCGCGCGCACACACATACACACACATATATATATATATATACGCAACACGCTCGTTGCAATGTGTGCACGCGCGTCCAGCGCTATGCAAGTGTGGAGTACTTTGGAAGACTATCATAACTGCACAATGTTCTCCTAATCCATGACCATTTGTTCTATTGAAAATGTCGCGAAACGGATTTAAATGTACAAAAGAAGGAAAAAACCTACATGTATGTATGCACATGTAATGCCGAGTTCACACCGGTCAGAACTCTGTTGACGAACAGTTCGCAAGCTGCTCGCAGACTGTCCGCGAACACACTGGAGCTCCGCTACTAATCACTTCGCTACACACGAAATTGTCTACGCTGCCGGTTTAACGTGGTCCTTCGCGATCTTGTCCGCGAACTGCTCGCGGACACCGATGTGAACCCGGCGTAACATCGTAAGCCGTGAAACGAAGTAAATGCAAAGAGAGACAGAGAAGGAAACGTGTTGATTGTTACGACGGTGTCGAGAATGTAGGAGTGAATTAAGCAGAGGAAAATAGTACAGCGGTATACAATAGAAGAAGTGATCAAAGAGTAGAAGAAAATTGCTTGCTACCTATGACATCCTTCCAGGACACTACACTGGCATAGTAAATCGAGTACAGAGTGTCCTACAAGGTATGGCATATGCGGCAAAATGAAGGGTAAGTACTAATTCAGAAAATTGAAACAAGGAGTACGAGTGGTTTTTATCCGGTGTCTTTACACGTAATTATATTCGTCGGTCGATCTACTAGTAATACGAAACTGATCAAAAGC